CCCCAGCCCTGCTGGCTGGGGAATTCCGGGAGTTGAAGTCCACACCTCTTAAAGTTGCCAAGTTTGAGAAACATTGCTCTAAGTAAAAAATGGAAGAAGCTGTGGAAAAATACAGGAACGTTATGAATGGAAGAGTTCCTGCTTGCCTCCATCACTCTGATGCAAATTCTGCTCAGCGCATCTTGTTAAGTCCGACCTTTTCTGAAAATAGACAACAGCCCCACTTCACTGGCCAGACCTGATGATCAAATGCTTACCGTTCTGATGCAGCTACCCTGATCTGCGTAGGATCATGAACCTCTTGCAGGATGTCCTTGCAGTTAGCCAACGATAACCAGGGTGGAATAGCCGGGTACTATTGTACGTTATGGGAACTGATCTATCCAATGGTTTCTGCAACAGCAAAATGCTTCTGGGATGAGCAACGGAAGTCAACTTCTCAAGGCTTCCCAGAGGCTTTTTAACGAGATGGGGGGGGGCGACGAATTTGACATATAAATAAATAAATAAATAATAAACGCTACTTTCCAGCTAACGAAGGGAAGCTGAAGTGGGCCGTACAAAGTGGCAGTGTTTGACGCACCCGATTGTGCATTTCCTCCCAGATTAGTGGACGCTTCCGATGCAGACAAAACGCCTACCATCCTGACTCTACTTGATCCAAGCTGGTGCCGATGCAGCGTGTCTGGTGGACCCAAACATCTCAGAAGCTTGTAATCCACCTCCTTCTCAGGAACCGGCCTACAGGTATGGGTGCTTTTGATATAAGGTGGGAATGAGTAGGGCTCTCTCCAGGTGGGATCAAAAAAGTCAGTATGGTGGCTGCTAGAAGGTGATGGAAGCCCTGTCCCTTTCAATGGTACGTGCATCACACAGAATGAGGGAGAGGCTTTGTTCGTGCAGTTGTGGCTGCCATCTTGACTTTTTTGACCTTCCTTCGTGGTTATCCTTAGGAATGATGACCTGGGAAATCAAGGCCGTTTACTGATCGGCTTGTAAGCAGCTGAACTCAGGGCTGTTTGTGGGTGGGATGCAACAGCAGCCCAACATGTTGACTAGAATTGTGTGGCGCAACCCTTCAGAACCATTAGAAGCTGTAGGTTATTGTGGCTTTGAATCTTCTGCACTTAGGGAAGCAAATTGCCAATCAATCAATCAATCAATCAATAAAAGCAGCCCAACAGCTAAACCAAAAACACTCTACAGCTGGCCTGTTGCAGAAACGCTAATCTTTTACTTGGAAGTGGGCATCTTGCCCAAGCCATGATGATGTCATGGGCACCATCATACAAACAGCATGAACTTTGTCATTTATATCAATTGTTTCTACGTATTTCCATTTGAACAGTGCAGGAGGAAGACCTTGTGAGGCTAAAGTGTACCATGAGGGCGAGAAACCTACTCTTCTCCTACTCTTCTCCTAGTAGGTCTCCTACTCTTTGTTCCTAGATCGAGCAAACCATAGAAAGGAACCAGTCTGAATATTGCATGTTTTCTTGACATAACCCTCTGTGGGGGGGATTCTCTGTGGGAAGGTCAAAAAAGTCAAGATAGCCACGACGGTGCGATCAAAGCACCACCTGTTTTTTATGCACACGGCATACACACCCCTGGCCCTCTGGTGGACTCTCCATGTTTGCTGGGTCCAAATGCTAGAGGACAAACCTGTATGCTCAATGGATGGCCTTCAAATTAAATAAACAAAATAAAAATAACCATGAGTAAAATCATGGGGGTGTAATGATAGTGTCCTTTTTGCTTTTTTGCCTTAAAAAGACTCCTGATTGTCACTGCCTCACAGCATGGGGTTCCCTTGCTCATAGACAGGGTGTGGTCAAAAAAGTCAAGGTGGTGGCTGCAACAGTACAATCGCTCCACCTGTTTTTTGTGTGCATTGTGCATACCTACTCTTCATGCACCTGGAACACCATGTATATGTCTGTGGCACCATATCTTACTAGGCCTAGAATGCATCAATTGTACATGAAAAATACCTGGCACATATTCCATGTGCCCCAGAAATAAAGGGTGTTCCAAGCACAAACATGCACACTGCCAAGGTGTCCTCAATTTGCTGATGAACATGTATTTATGGGGAGGGCAAAATTCAAGCAGAAAAGGTGGTTGACAGCTTTGCAGGTCCTCAGGCCTCAACCCACTGAAAGTCATCCAAGACAGTGATCAAACTAGACCGTTGAGTCTTGGTAGGTGCTTCTATTAAGAATGAGCGGCCAACATTCTGGATCCAAGGCATCACAGATGTGAGCAGTTTCCTTTTCCAAATACCTGTCAATGTGGATGTGGGTCCACGTGCAAGAATTTGCCTGTCTGGCCAGATTGCAGGAGGCCATGAACGATTTAGAATAGTCCTACCAGGCAACATCAGAAGATACAGGAACAGTGGACAGAAATAACCTACTTGCTCTTCTAGTCCTCTGTCACTAAGGAGCTGTAAGCCGTATTGGGTCCAGTTTGTCCATGATGAGTCCTTCTCATCCTTCTCCGAGAAATGACTTCCCTTCTGGCTTCATTGCTTTCAGCAGAGATGAAAGTCCAAGCTCTGCTTCTCCACCTGAGCAGAGCTTGGACTTACAACAGGCTCAGTTGACCTTCATAGAGTGGACTTTAAGAGGAGCTCCAGGCCATCCAACAGGAAAATCCCTCTGAAAGGGAGCATCTGTGTGAAAGGTGTCAACATTTGAAAAGTGGTGGGCATGGCTTCCAACACAATGCCATATCCACCATTTTTCAGATTTTGATGGCACCTACGGACACCACTGCCTCTGAGACTCTGGAACCTGTTAGCTTTTGGGGGGAAGCACGTATCCAGCCACAGTTAACCGTATTAACTACTATTAATATAAGCTACTATTTGTTTTAGCATGAAAAGCAACCACAGGTTTAAATCTTTTCCTTTGGGATTGGAGGGATTTAGAAATGCTCAGCTTTTAAATATTAGGAATTTAACAGTGTCTTTAGGCTGTAATTCCATTTCTATTCTAACTTGGATTTAATCCTCTACAGAAGAACTCTGTGCAGTAGAGGATAGCACTGAAAAATATATAACACAGTAGAAAATACTAGGATAAGCCTGAATGTTCTACAGATGGTACTACCTCTTACATTTTTGAGATCCTTTCAGGGAAAGAGGGAGGGGTATAAATGCCAGTTGAATTCCACAAGTGTCCTCAGGTCATTTCTCAGATATGGACTCCTTTCAATGAGATGAGCATGCTCAAGATTTGTGGCAACAATAGGCTCTATTTAAATGTGATGCAGTTAAATATTATAGGTTGTAAAGGCATGTAGCAGAACCTGTTTACACAGCGTGTCAACCAAATGAATAGCAGGTCAGTGGTGGAGTGATAGGCTGGGTAGGTTTAGACAGGAGTTGAAATACTTTCTGTTCAGGTTCTAGGTGAGAAGGCGCTTGGATGACCTCACACTCACTTTATCAATCCGGCAACTTTTTTTTCTTTATGTTTACTTGTTGTGTACCTTTTTCGTTTTCTTTGGTGATTGTTCATTTAAAACATTTTACATAACATTTAAAAGTTCATAACTGGAATTTATCCAGTAAAATATGAAGAGAGACCTCTTTTTTTAAAAAAAACTAGGCAATGTAAGTAGAATAATGTTTAAAACCAGGCCAATATGGTTTGAGAAAGAGATCATGGGTCCTTTGTTCCGTTGTTTGAATATTAAGTTTTTGACCCAAGAGAGGACCTTTAGAATTGATCATTGGAAGGGAAAGGTGTCCATTGAGAAAAATGTGTGGTTTTTCATTCAACGTTTACAGTTTCTTCATTTATGGCTCTCCCCCTGCCAAGAGGCTAAAACTGTCATATGGTTATCCCCCGGTGTCCTCTCTGGAGCCACAGCTCATACTAGAAGAGAGCAGAGAGTGGGACAGACAGTCAAAGAGCCCTCAGTCCAGATTATGTGTGAAACCAGTCCACAAGACCAACACTTGAATCTGAGAGTTGGACAAGAGGATGAAAGTTAGGCCGGTGAATGTTACAGGTAGAGTCTGATGGAATCTGGAATTGACTTCTTGTTCAGGTTTCAGAGTTGATTTCTGGGCAAGACACTGTTTTACTGGTTCAGCCAGTAAGATGTTGACCACCATAGTGCCAAGAGGGCTTCATGATTTCATCTGCTTCACATTCCTGAAGCTGCTGATTGACCACCTCATTTCAACAAATCGTTACTTTCTCCAGTATCCTGTCTAACACTTGGCATTAAGCAGAGGAGAAATACTTTGACCTTTATGCTATTTGCTTACCGTACAGTGTGTCTGTGTGAATGAAATACCAAAAGGCCCAGCTAGCTGTGACCTAGCCTCATAGACTTTAATTTTACCCCTGAGAAGGTCACAAGTATTAGGTATTGTGGTTTGATCCATCAAAGATCTCACCTTTCTAAGCACGCACCAGAAAATGAGGGCACTTGCAGGAAATGCTTTTTGTTTGAGAATAAACAGGGTTCCACAGGTGTGGTCAAAAAAGTCAGTATGGTTGCTGTGATGTGTGATCAAAACTCTGCCTGGTTTTTATGTGCTTGGAGCACATTCAGATGGTGCAAAGCAAGTCTTTCCCTTGTCTTTCCCTTGGTGCAATTGTTTGGCCACACCCAATGAAGAGCACCGTTAAGTATTTTTTCTCCCCTTTGCTTGAGGAATTCTGCAACATGAAAGAGTCAGCATAAAACATAGAGGAAATATAAATAAGTAAAAATACAATAATATATTAAGATGCAGATAGAAGACCAGAAAAGCCCATTCTCTCCTTGTACCTGATGAGCTTGGCTGGAAAGATTAAAAGAAAGCTTGAGTTTAGAGTTATCTGAAAATGAAGAAAAGCTGAATGTCCAGGTGGGAGGACAGGGTACATGCTAGGAAATAGATGGAAAGAATTCCTCTGCAAGCACGTAAGGACAAAGGCCTTGTATTTCTTCAACATCTAGGCTACTTTCGAAAATGCTCATCCATTGGGTGAGGTCCATCAGTGTTGACTTCTACAACTTGATTCCAACTGGTTTGGCTCCTTCAAGGAACTTTGCAGCTTTAGTAAAGCCATCGCAACAGCATCTTCTCATCTTTGGCTGATCTGGGGGGTGGGGGGCAGAGTGAACATCTTGACCAGGAAGTCAGAAAAGAAATCAAGAAGGCAGTGGCAGGTGGGTTCTGTATTATGGAAAGGAATACTTACTAAAAAAGAGGAGGCCCTGCCTCAGATTTGGATTTTTTCCCCAGATTTCTACATATTGGATCTACAATTACGTTTCCTTTAAATAACTGGGCCTGAAATGTATTGAACCTTTTCAGCTTTCATCTGAACTTGCTTTTATTATGCTTACTCTTCCAGTTGGAAGCAAGGACATCTTCAAGGAGGTTAAAAATATTCACAACGGTGACTGCAACCTCATGGTGAAGGCCCTGGGTCTTTTTTATATGTGCCACTGCCATTTCGACTTTTTTTAACACCACCACCCGGACACCCTGCTTATGAGGAAGAGGTCATGGGCAGAAGGAGGTTGAATAATGGGAGATGTAGCATGCTGGGTCAAGTAGCGTTCTTGAGTGGGTCCTTTAGGATTAAAAATTCACTTGTCAGTCAACCTGAATCTCATGATTGGGAGGGAGAAATGGACAATTAACATCTCTGGCAAAACAGTGCACGGCCATTGCAAAATCTACAGGTGTAAGATGGATAAACATATCTTGCAAATAGTGATTGTAAGTGGGGAGCACGGTGTGGAATATCTTTAACCTATAAAATCCTGCTCAAAGGTATGGGACACTGAGACTCACCCTGAAGTCAAGCGCCAGGCTCAGTGCAACTCCCTTTGCATGGTAGTCCACATCACTCTTGCAAACTGGAGGGTGAGAAATAGAACTAAAATTTACCTCTTTTCTTCTTATTTAAGTTTATCTGTAGTCTTGGAAGCTCCCAAACTGGCTGGGGAACAGGAGTATCCTCAGGGTATGGTAGAAAAAAAGTCAAGGAGGTGACCACAGAGGTGCAATCACACATAAAAAAACAGGTAGAGTTTGAATTGCACCACCGTGGGCACCATCTTGACTTTTCTTTACCGCACCCTGCAGACACACCTGCTGGGAATCTACTTTTGCTGTGCAACACACTCTAAACAGGCAGGAGAGAGGAAGAGAATCACGTAGCTCTCATTGTGTTCAGTTAGCAATGTTTACCCATTAAATTTTAGGTTGTTTCCCTGGTCTGTTGTAGCGGACTGGGAATACCAGGGCTGGAAGCTGGACTGCGAAGTTGGGGGGAAAAACAACATTTTCATGTTTCATATCCCTGAAGTCATCCGAAATTCAGCCTGACTCAATGGAAACTTTTGTACTTCCAGCAAGGCTGATAAATTAGCTAAAATTTGGACAAGATATTCTTGGAGGAAGGAATATAATTTGTTTGTGCTTAAGCATTAAAGCGCTGAAATAAGCTGTATTGATAGAGTGGGATTTTCTTCTAAGTACCTCTTAGAAGTTCAAGTCTTAGAAGCGTCTTAGTCCGTCTTAGAAGCTGAAGTTTCTTCTTTAAGGTCATGATATTATAGTTACTACCTCAGTAGAAATAACACCAGTGGGTTCAGGAGTACATGATTACTTCTCAGCATACATATAGAGTTGTACTGCAAAGGGTATATAAACAATATGTACGATTATTAGAATGTGTGCATTTGCACTGGTCTTCTCAAGTAAGGAACAATGTAAGGAACCTGAAAATAACTCTGTCTAGTTTCTGCCCAGATTCCATAAGGCAAAATCTTCCTTTCAGATCAGCTTCGTGCTTTGCATATTTGGAAGGACCCCTTGCACAACGCACCCCCTGCCTTACTAGGTCCGTGGCCTGATTCTCTGGTTTACCTTGTTTCCCAGGCTCGTTTTATGTTTGCCAGACATTAAGGACCTCCTTTTCTTTCTTTTTTTTTTCAAAGCAGAAAACCTACCATTCCGGTCACTGCCTTTCAGTTGTCAAATTAGGTGGATTTGGGTGCTGTTTCTAGGAAGACAGAAGAAAATCGAATCCTTGGATTCCAGCCATGCAACTTTATGGTGTGAAGCTAGGTTTGCTTCTGTTTTTCGTTGGCAGCTTGAGGTCAGGATGGGCCATTCCCTTAGAAGGTCTTGAGAAAATCAGTAAGTATGACCTTCTTCAGTCAAAGTGAGATTGCAACTGCATGAACTAATATGGACATCCCCAAGTGGTGCCATTCAGATGTGTTAGTTCAGAGCTACCATGACGCCTAGCTAGGAGGACCACAGGAATTACAGGATTAAGATTATCTGGAGGCACCAAAGGGAAAGGTCCCACAAATGCATCAGGTTGGCCAGGGCCAATTTGCCAGAATGCCGATATTATTCATTGAATTCCATATGAGTGAAGAGAGTTTTACAGGCAAACAAATATCCTTATTATGTCATACCCATTCATTGTCTACTCAGACAATTTTTGGTGAAGTTATAAACTATAACCTTTTTCAGCCCAGACAGATTCAATTCTAGAACATTATTTTTATTTTATTTTATATACATTTTATTTTGGGGTTTTCTCTTTCATTGCCACGGATTAGGATTGATAAGTCCTTCCCTGCAATGTCTCCTGTGGTTTAGGAGGAGAAAAGGAGAAATTTAGATGCTACAGCAGCTTTTCCTTTTCCTTTTTTTTTTTTTTAAGCATTGACATGCTGAAGTTTTCTTCCCTTAGCATCTGGATATATTAAAATATATATTAGTATATATTAAGAAATCATGAGTTGAACATTCTGGATGGAATTGGATGGAGCTGTGTGGAGCAGAAGAAATGAGAGTCTTAATATTGCAGACTATTTAAGTAAATACTTTTTGGAAACCTCATTTCTGAATAAACTGGACCAGGCTGTCATATTTTATGAAAAATGAGCCATCCTGTGGCTCACGGAGTAAAGAAATGCACTAATAGTCCTGCTGTTTTCGTTGTTTTTTTTCCAGCCATGGATTTCTTCCGTAACAACAGCATGCTTCTGACCACCTTCACGGGCACCACTTTTATTGTTAATATTCCAAAATGTGTCTCTTCCTCCAAGTTTTCTCCAGCCACAGTCAGAATAGCAATCGCTCAACTTCCGGATGCATCCTCTTTACCAGGTACTGTATATGAAATATGCGTGTCTTTGTTCTGTTTAACAACTTAGACTACAACATGTAGAGCGGGCAAGGAAGAGTAAAATTCAACCTGAGAAACTGCATTCAAGCTTTTCTCATCCACTAAAATTTCACAGATGTTTCTCAGAGCAGGATCTTCCAAACTTGCTTTCAAATTCTGATTTCCAAACCACTTGAGCAAACATCTTAAAAAACACACAGTAACCCTTCCTGAGCTCATCTGCCTGTAGTTTACAAGTCTCTAAACTTCAATATGCATGCTTTCTAATGACTGGAGATGCTTACTTCATTTTTAATAATAAATGCCTTCATTTTTAAGGTAGGGCTCCTGAATTGTAGAGGGAATGCATTGTTCCTCTACCCCTTGGATAAATAGGCCTCGGGAATGGTGGTGGGAACTACATCAAGAAGAAAAGAGGAGAGATGAGAGGTCTAGTAGGTGTAGAATGGGAGAACTCATTGTGGGGACTGGGAAAGCAAAGTCCTGTAGAAGATCTGGAAATAACTACATTCTGTAGCTTTCTAGACAAACAGGCATAAACATGGAAAGCCATCTAGATGGGTGGCCAATGGAAGTATCAGCCCTTTGAGATAGGCCAGGTCAGGGCTTTGCAGAGTTTCTAGGAATATCACTTTATTGCTGTAGGGCAGTGTTTCTCAACCTTGGCAGCTTAAAGATGTGTGGACTTCAACTCCCAGAATTC